AGTGGCAGTCTACACATAATTTTTTGCCCAATACTTAAAATATAACAAGAGAAAAAATGCAGCCTGAATTCCTTTCTAGCAGTGAAAGTAAAACAAAACAGATTCCTAGGACTAACTTTTGTTTCTATGTTTAATATATTTTCTTTTCTTTGTTTTAACTTAATAGTTGTTAATGGTTGTTGTTGCTATGTGCCATCATGTTGATTCCAACTTATAGTAACCCTACGAATGAAAGCCCTTCAAAATATCCTGTCCATAGCCATACTCTGCTCTTGTAAACTCAAGGCTGTGGTTTCCTTTATGGAATCAACCTATCTCATATTTGGTCATCTCTTTTTCTGCTTTGCACTTCCCCTAGCATTACTATCTTTTGCAGTGAGTCTTGCCTTCTTTTGATGTGCCCAAAGTACAACAGTTTCAGTTTCTTATTTTTGCTTCCAGAGAAAGTTCTGACATGATTTGATCTAGGAAATCAAGATGTTTATCTTTCTGTCAGTCCAGTGTATTTGCAAAGCTTTCCAGCAGCCCCATGTTTCAAATACAGGAAGAATACAGCTTCTCCATGTACTACTTCCTTTTTGTAAGCTATTTGATTTCTGTATTGGCCAGCTGGTGATATTTATGTGTACAGTTGTCTGCTTGGTTTCCTGAGGAATGTATTTGCTATAAACATATGGTTGGCTTCACAGAATTCTATGAACAGAATTCTCCTGCATCATTTTGGACCCCTAGGCCAAATTCTCCCATAACATTTGATTTGACTATGTTTCCTACTTTTGTGTTCCAGTCACCTATGATTATCAGCATGATTGATATTATTTGGTTGGTCTTTGCATTATAGCCCCTAATGGCTTGTGCTATACCTTGCCTCATTTCTTCTGAGTTTGCCATTTCCAAAGTAAAACACTTCGTGTCTCTCTGACTGAAAATATCCCATTCCAATCCACTATAGTTTGGCTTAAGTCATACTTCTCACAGTCCATGTTCCAATTTATGTGTTGTGCAGCACTGGCTTTTCCTGTCACTCCTGCAGGTCAAAAACTAGACTTCCTTTTGGAAGGAACCACTAGATTCTAGTTGTGACATTCGTGAGAGTGCTATTTTTATTTGTGCTTTGCTCTCCCCTTTGGTTGTTTGAGTGCTTCCTCATCTGGGACTCTCATTTTGTGGCATTTACCTCTTGTTTCATTTTGGATTGTTTCATTATAGGTAAAGAATATTCAATAGTAGTTTACTATTGCCTTCTTCTGCACAGTTTGTTTGAACAAGAGTTTGTTTGATAACTGCCATTATCTGTGAAAGATCTTCTGCCATTGTCCCATTCCACTATCACTGCTGCATAGTAGCTGCCCTTCAGAAGTTTACCTGCCCCATCTCCATTACAGATATCCATTTTCTTCTGCTGATATAACAGTTGAGGGTGGATGCATCTTATTCAGGTGTTTTAACTTTGACCATTCCACCTTGGGTGACCCTGCTAGTAGACCAGCCTAACAAGGGAAATTTGGCCTTCTGGCAGCATCGCTCTTTGTTTCTCTAACATTCTTAAACCTCCTCACCCAGGAGTGGGTGTTAATGATTGGGGCAGCAATTCAGAAAATGCACTGTCAAGAACATGCTATGTCATGAAAACAATCATTTGCTTTCGAGCATTTTCCTATGCATACTACCCAGACTGTCAGTCTTCTCAGAACATAAAAGAAAAAAAGGAAACAAATTGACCTTCCTTGTTTTGTGTCAGGAATGACTTGATGCATAGTATTCTTTTATAGCTAGCTATTCAGTATATGCAATATTTAGTATTACAAGTAGCTCTGTTTTCATCCTGTTTTAAGACAAACTATGGTACCTAGTAGCATTCCATCCAGTATTGGATGTAGAGAAATTAAGGAGGTGAACTTCTACACATTATTGGGTCAACAAGTAAACATCGTCATCATTCCACAACAAGATTATAATTTCTTTTTGATGGATCAACAGAAGGTTATTTGTGGCAACAAATAAAAAAGACAGTCTGAAGTATTGATAGGAGTATAATAATAATACCTTTTAATTTCTTTTTTAACCACTGAGTTTGAAGGTAACTTACTCTGGCCTAATAATTAATATTTAGTGATCAGATTCACCAGGATCTGCACAATTTGCCCCGCTGATGTTTTGTCATACATTTCTCGCTGCCAGTGCTACTATGCTGTAGAAAGATATTTCTGCTGCATGAAAGGGAAGTCAGGTAGAGGCAGAACTTCTAAAAGCCCAGTGTAGTAGCATGTCCCAGATGAAAAGTTTAAAATAAATTTAAGGGTAACATCGGGATGATTAACAAATAGACTCTGTCTGTATGCCATGGGGAGATGGTAGTATAGCTCTAAGTCAAGAGTAAGGAAAACAATAAAGTAGGAGGAAAGTACTGTGCATCAAAACTGCACGGAACAGGAACAGAGATATCCTGAAGTACAAACACAGCCAAATTAGAGACGAAGTACAACATTGCATTTGGCAATATTGATGTGGCTTTTTGACAATCTTGCATCCCATCTCTATAGTATTTCTTCCTATCTCCCTCCTTCAACAATCAAACAATTGTGGGGTTCTTTGCATTTTTTTCTTCTACCACAAGATCAAACAAAAGCAAGGACAACAGCAATGCAAGATATGGAGGAAATGAAGAAGACTATATAAGAGGCCATTCTCCCCCTCCCCCACCCCCACACACTCCATTCCAAGTAGATCAAGACCAGAGGCATGCATTCCAGATTTCTGTGGCCTGTGGGAAGCCCATAAGCAGTACATGAATGCAACAGCATCTCCTCACATGTCCCCCACAACTGATATTGAGAGGGATACTGCCTTTGACGCTGGAGGCAACATACAGCCACCAGGAGTAGTGGCCATTGTTTGCTTTCTCCTCCAGGAATTTGTCTAATCCCCTAAACCACCCAAGTTTTCCACTCAATTTCATGTTTTAACTGTGCACTATGTGAAGATGAACTTCCTTTTGTATGTCCTGAAATCCCTTAGCATTCAGCTTCATGGGATGGCCCTGGGTTCCATTATTCCGAGAGAAAGAGGAAAACCTCTCTGTATCCATAGTCTTCACTCTGCAAATATATTTGTTTACATTAAAATCCTCAACCTTGCAACTCTGTTTCAGAGAGAGGATGCTGCAGCCCATTGATCTTTTTGGTGTGCATTTCTGTACATTTTACAGCCCTTTGTTACCCTTTCTGAGGTGCAGTAAACAGAACCATACACAGTAGTGCAGTTCTGGTCATACAATGTATTTCTATAAAGATGTTTTGTTATTGGAAGTTTGATTGAATGCACCCTTTTCAATGTTAGCTGCAAACCAGATCAACACTTTCAACAAGCTGTTCATTATAGCCAAATATCCCATTTCCAGTTAAGCAGTCAGACTGCATTTGTCATTCTAAAGTCCATTCCCTTAGTTAAGATAATTTTTTTGGAGTGCTTGGGAATATTTTTTTGGAATTTGCCACCTCACAGCTCACCCATATTTTCAGATAATTTAACGGATTAAAAAGAACTGGTTCCAATGCAGAACCTCAGAAGATGCCACTACTTACATGCCTCAGTTGAAAGAATTATCCATGTACTCTGACTCTCTGCTTCCAGTTCTGTAATCTGTTAAAGAAATTTCATCCTTTTATCTCATGACTATGAAGTAAGCTTAGAGGTGTTTGGTGAGAGACTTTCTTAAAAGCATTTTCAAATTCCATGTAAACAATGTCTACTGGATCATTCCAATTCATATGCTTCTCAATATTCTCAAAGAACTCTGGTAAATTAGTGACAGATGACTTAAATTTACAAAAGCCATTTTGATCCTGCTTCACCATTATATATCACTGTATATGCTTCTTAATTTATTTTTAAATGATTTATCTATTTGCATTGCAAAATAATCCCAAAGTGGAGGACAGACAAATCTTACATTTAATCATGTGTCCTACCAATTTATCCAGAAGTGATGTTAAGATAATCAGCTTGTAATTTCTTGGATCCACCCTGCATTTAAGGAATATTTTATATATTTATGTTAGGACATCGGCAATTTCATATTTGAGTTGTTTTAAGAATACCTTATTGACATTATGATTTTGTTTGATACCTGTTTGACAGTAAGCTCTAGAAAAGACTCTTCTCACCAATATTTGCCTCAGTTCCGTCGATGGTGTTCCTGAAGATGTCAGTTCAGTCCTAGATATTCTACAGTGAATAATAAATAAATAAATAATATTAAAACAAAATGTTCAAGTTTTCTGTCACCTTTGCACCCCTTCCATATTCTTCAACTTCTAGTACCTCCCAGTGTCTTGGGAGCTCCCCATCTAGCTCCTCATTATCTATACTGATTGATAGTTGTTACACGTGGGTCTTTTTTGGTTCTGCTTGGAGATGCTGGAGATTGAACCTGGAACACTTTGCATTCAAAGTGTATGTACTCCTGAGTTACGGTTCTTCCCAAGCATTTTCAAATCATCTGGATTGACTGCTTTATTAGTTTCTGGCTTTGCGCTTCTTATAAAAAAATATTGTAGCTCCCTAACATTACATTTTTTCCTTGCAAAAATCAGGATAGAAGCTTTTATGTGTGAGCTGCAGCTTGTCATTACTAATGTGCATTCGAAAGAATTACTTCAGTGGCTTAAAATTTTATTTAGGAAATGAACTATACCTTTATTTTTGAAAAACCTAACTGCATTCATATAAAAATATTTTTGCATCTTTAACTAGGAGAAAGGAAAGGACCATTGCTTTAGTGATTTTTGTATACTTATTTTTGTTTATCTATGTGTCTAGACTTGTTTCTCCCACAATAGATAGGTGGTTAGATAGAGAGCAGACACAGATATTCTTTATTTTCTGTCAGACTTTGCACTGAAATGTCATCTCTTCCCTCAGGTTTATAATGAAAATTCTAATAGGTGTGACATCAACAATTGCCTCTTACTAACAGCTCTCATAATTTAACCCTTCAGGTGAACACATTGATTGATGAATTGCAGGCAGCCATCAAGAGCTACAAAGGTCACCTCTCTAAACTTGCCCCTCAGTTACAGGCTGAACAGGAGCAATGTGCTTCTTACATCTACCAACATATTAAGGAACTTTCTGCAAATGCAGTGCTTTCACAAGGTCTGCAGCTAAAGGTAGGTGTAGTTTAATAGCCATTGCAATTTGTCATCTGTATTTTTAAGTGTTTGTTCAATAGTATCCCAAAGAAATTCCAAATTTTAATTTCGACTGTTTTAGGATGTGGATTCAATGTTTTCCAAGGTATAAGAAGGTAAACCTAGGGATGTGGGAGAATTTTGCTTAGTTTGCATTTCAGTTAGAATTTAGCAGGTTCACACTTCCCTAATCAATATACAAAATGGAATATAGCCACCCTTCAGTATTCACACTTCTCAGAATTTTGTGATGAAAAATGTGTTTTTTTCACAAACAAAACATGTAGAAGACTGATTATAATAGATGAACGTGCAAATAATAGTGTGTACAATAGTGAAAAAATATTAAGAGCAATTACTTGCAAAATTTATGCATTAGGTAAGCATGCAGACAAAATGCATATATTAGGGAAAATTCATGCACATTTTCATGTAGGCATTTTAAAAAGTTGCAAATTGCTGAAGAAACGGAATGAACTTAAGCAGAAAAAGATAGGAAACAGATAAAACTGAAGTTAGCGTAATTGTTTATTCTTGATTAAACCTAATTTTAAAAAATCTTGAAACTGATGGGGAAAGAGGGCTAAGGTGTATATTACCTCTTTTAATCAGAAATTTATTTCCAGGTATAAAATGCATACAAATAGCATCAGGTATAAATGTCGCCCAGTGTAGCTTTTGCTGACAAATTGCACATAGGTCAGGGCCCTATCATAACAGATGGTAACTTGCATGTAATTTCATTTATGAACCAGCTCTTTCATGATCGCAGGTCAAAACAAACTGCAGGGACCAATTTATGATGTAGATGTAATAATAATTTAAAATTTGCCTGATGGATGATATCCACTACCACTTACTAGCTCTTTGTTATAATTATATCTGATGAGGAAAATCTAGTTAACATCTTCATAATTGTCAGGATTTCTCTAATTTACCCAGTCAAATTATCCTCCTCCTATCTAAAACACATGCAGCTAAAAAGAAACTAAGGGAGTGATCTTATGGCCCCTAGACATTGTCTAGGGGGTGCAGGGCATAAGATAATTAAAATCCCAGATCCAGGGTTGGAGACTAAGGTGAGAATAGGAATTCCAGCCTCTTTCCCCCCTATCCAGCAAGAACCAATTTAGCTGCCTCTTGGCAGTAAGGGAGTCATTCCAAGGTAGGTGGGGTGGAATGCTATGTATCCTTATAGTACTTCAGCACCTTCACCTTCCACCTTTGAAGCATGTCAGCTATATGACTGAAAATGGCTGTCTGGCTAAAATGTAGAGCAGAAGGTATGGGGAGGCAGAGATGACTTCCACCACTCCCCTACCTCTTCACTGGATAGTCATAAACATCTGAGCTTGGAGTCTCACAAACACAATCCATAGGGACTACACCCTAAATACTGTAGTATGTCAAGTAATTTAGGACTGGTGTGAAGTTTAGCATCTAGTAAATAATGACTGGTGTTTGATTAATACCATACCAAAAATTGGGGCTATTTCCTTCCTTCCTTCCTTCCTGATTTCATTTTTATACCATCCGATAGCTGAGGCTGTCTGGGTGGTTAACAAAAGTTTATTGTTAAAACAAACATTTGCTAGATCATTAATAATTCGCTGTTAAATTGCCAAATTACTTAAGTATATCCATTTCATATTATAAAAGCTAGCTTATATTATAAAAATGAATTAATGTCAAAATTAGCTTGCTTGAAAGCTATATGTAATGTTTTTCATCCAGCATAGCTTCTTACTCAAAGTCTCTCATCATGTAATTTACCTCTATAGCGGCTTTGTGTCTTACTTTACAGGGAGCAATCCCCTATTTGATGGTACCCTCTGTTTAGCTACCCTATCTCATTTTCATTTTTTAATGGGTTCAGATTTCACAAATTGGTAGTTATACCTGCAGTCTCTGTGTGCAGTGGCTATAGCACACATTATGTTGGCTGTGTGGGGAAAATGAAGGCATGCTTCCACTTCTCCCTGGTTGTTGGACACAAGGGCAGTTATAGACTTCAGCTTGGGAGCACAATTTTGAGTTGTCTCTGGATGAACGAAGCATTCAATGGCTTGGGAATGATCCTTCCCTTGAGCTCTGGTTTCTTAATTGAATTAAGGCTGGCTGACTAAATATTGCAAAAGTCATGCTTCTGAGAGACAATTAAGTGAAGGCTTCTAGAATAAAGAGTACCACAAGGGGTGCTTTAACCTGTTGAGATGAAGATTCATCTAGATTGGATCTTGATTCCTACCAAAGCTTTAGATTAAGCAATTTAAAGGTTTCTGCTTGGGTTCTTTGACCAGCAAAGTGTATTACATTTTTATACTGTCCCTTACTTAAGCTCTTAGGTCATTTTAAAAGCATAAAATATAACAATACTGTAGAACATAATATAAAAACCACATGTTAAAAGCAGAGTAAAAACTAAAGTAGTAACTAAGATAAAAGGCAACATCAGTACAGAGGTATACAAATGAACACAAATTAGTGCTAACACATTTTTAAGTGGAAGGGCTATTAAAAGTATGTGGGTGGTGGGGAGATCATCACCTGGTGCTGAAAAGATCACTCTGTAAGCTCCCCAACCATGTATATGTTGAACAGCATGGAGGATAGAACAGAACCCTGTAGTACCCCATGATATAATTGCCAAGAAACAGAGGTATGATTCTCCATTGCCACCTTCTGGAATCAGCCATCAGAGTAGGAGCAAATCACTGCAAGACAGCAAATAGTCTGTCCTAAGGATACCATCGTTGATGGCAACAAAAGCCCATGAGAGGGCCAGGAGAATCAAAAGGATTGCACTCTGTTTTACTTTCTGACAAAGGTAATCCCACAGGACAAGCAAGGCAGTTCCTGTTCCAAAAGTAGTCCTGTTACCTTGATTGAAATGGATCTAGACAGCAGGCTTGTTGGCATGATCATATAGTCCCCTTTGGCTTATCTAAGGATAACACGAGATATGGACAGAACTATATGTGTTTTCTTTCTTTGATTCCTCAGAAAAGGACAAATACACATGCATCTATTACAACAATATTGTCAAGCTGTCGGTCTTGGTGTGAGAATAATAGCACATCCCCTGATGGAAACAGAATACAGAAACAAACAAGCACCATTTCTTTTTTCTAATGCCTCTACTGCTCTGAGGTTTTGTTTTTGCTTTTACTCTTCAGTTGATACCCTGACAAGCTTACTAATTGATATCTATCTATCTATCTATCTATCTATCTATCTATTTATTTATTTGCACTTCTGTGCAGCTCCATAACTTGAAGGTTCTCTGGGCAGGTTACAATATTGTGTATTGTGCTCCTAAGGTCCATGCATAATCGTACTAATTTGTACTATTCTTTATAAGGTAGTTGCAGTGATCTTAGCTAACCAGTGGGTTATAGCTATTAAACTAAGAAGAAAAAAATACAAGAGTTAATATACTTCTGCTAGTATAAATGCCTCGTGCAATGACCTGCAGAAACAGTTACTATTGTTAGGGATTCATTGCAGTTGAATATACTTTATATCCAAATTCAGTGCTGTACTCCTAAAACAGTTATTAGGGGAAAGTTGACTACAAATGAGCATTTGTTAATCTGTTTTGCCACCATCATGAATTTCAGCAGTGGCAGTAGCAATGGGTTACGAGGCAGAGTGACAGGAGAACAATTCATGAGAGAGTTCAGGGAAAAATGGCCTCCAGGCCTCCCAAAGCTGCCCATCCCCCTTTTAGGGGTTGTTGGTCCCCAAATCTCGATCTGGAAGTCCAGTTCTAATTGTGCCACTGAAGCTTTGCTGGCTTTACGCTAAGTACACTACTCACCAAGTTACTTAGCGTTTAATTTCTGTTAAATAGGAAGGAGAAAATAGTACTGGTCTGGAATTCTAAACATATTCTTTTGTGCATCAATCCTGTCATTTTCACAAAGACTTACTGAAAGTTATTTTTTATTTCATAATTTATTGGCATAGAGGAGCTCATTTAACAATAAGTAGTGTACAGCTGCTCTGAGCATACATGAGAACAGCTCATTTTGGTATACAGGTTAAAGCAGTATACCGAAAAGTTGTGCAGACCATGTATGTTTAATGTTGTGTTTTATATTTTAAGACAGTCCAGGACTTATACAAAAGAAAGAGCAAAGCATCAGTTCAGCCTGAGTACTATCATTCCCCTCTATTTTTGCGTTATTATGTCTCTCTTCGCTTCTCTGCACATGGGTGGGAAATTGTTTTGGCTGTAATATAGGAAATAGGTACTGCTCAGTGGCTCTTAGAGTAACACCTACTGTGAGGTTTAACAGAACTTTTAACAGTTTGTTTAGTAGTGGTGGAAGAACTAATGTTGCCCTTGTGTGTTGTCACAGATTTTTCTCAGGTTGGCAGCTGGCACTGAAAACATGCTAGCCTAAGAGATGCTGTGTTCCACTGTGCCTGAGCATCTTCAAATATTGCAGAAACACTGGAAGCAGTAATAGCAATAGTGTTCTTCTTGTAATCTCGATTCTGACAAATGTCTGTGATAATGGATGTAAGGTGTCTAACAAAAGTGCGGTCTCAAATATTAGATGGTTCCATGCTCCTAGACAGGATGTTTTTTAGGTTGGCTGATATGATGTATTCCTTTTGTATGTTTGCACCAGAGACAGAGTTCTTTCTAGTGCTTTTAAGTAATGATATACATATTTCTAATTTCTTATTTGTGCCTTCTTGCTATCCTGCACTGGAAATTTTGCAGTTTGAGAAGAGGGGAGTTACAAAATTTAAAAGAAAATAAATTCCATGTGGATTATTATGTGTTGCATAGATTCTAAAATGCCAACTTTAACATTTCATTACTTTATATATATAATGAAACTATTTTATACTGCCTATAAGTAATCTTGAATGATGCTTCTACTCAGAAGTTTTTCCTTGTCTCTTCTTCAGTCAATTATTTTCTAAGAAAAGGTGAGGAATCTCAAACTATGCATGGGCTACATAGCTTCTAAGGAGGGAATAACAATATGAACACAAAAAATGCTCTATCGCATGGCACCTGTTCTGTTGATATCCAGTACAGTCTATATTGTAGCAGAGGAGCATCCTATGTGTGTACTGTAAAAATTAAATCCCCATTTCTTCTCATGGTACACCAGTTGTATATCCCACCAAATCATACATGTGGAATTCCAGTTGAGCAGATTCAGATAGTGAAAATGTTTTGGTTGTTGTAATTTTGAGTACTTGCAGGATAGGTTCACAAAAGTTACAAGTCTTCCCTTCCCTTCCCTTTTCTCATTTTTTTGTTGGTACTAGCCCTCTTATTTCATTTTACTAGACTGCCTGCATGCACCTACTTAGCAATTGCATGAGCTAAATGTTTTGTTTACAACTTCCCTGCTAGGCTGCAAAGCATCAAATGTTTTCACAGGTGACCAGTCCAGTGGCTACTTACAAGCCTCATGTAACATGTGCTGACTTCTTTTCAGTTATTTAAAAAACAACTCTTTGGAAGTTTGGTTAATTCTTATGAATTATTTAAATAGTGCCCATTAATTAATCAGGCAGGGCATTTGGGAGTGTCTGTGTGAGCACAATGCATACACAAATGCATATAAAACTGCAGGTGCCATCATAGAAAAGGCATTCCCCTTTCTATCTTAGGTAGGACACAAATGCAAATTTTTCAGTGAGCACTAGTTTAGAAGTGCAACTTGTCATTCAGCACCAGTGACTTGCTGGCATAATGTTAGAACTAATATGGCTCTTTTATGTGAAAGAGGAAGGAATGTCTTTTCTAAGATGGTACCTATCAGCTTTAGGAACTATGTTACAGAATCAGACAACATTTCACATTTGCATTGCAAGGCCAACAATATCATCTCTTCCTGTCTCAGTTCTCTCTGTCATCCCCTTTGGCTGAAACTTTCACTGTTTACCATGGTGAGCTCCAACCTTCTACGGCACTTAGGAAAGTACTGGAGGGCCAATGCTTAAATAATCATGCTGGTGAAGAATAATAGAATCGCAGGAGCAGATGGATGTGCCATAAGCAATTTATTTAGCTATTTCTTTATTTAGAATATCTGTAGGTCTTCCCACCACTCAATGAGCTGTCAAGACAATGTACAATATCAATTAAAAAAAGTGAAAGACATAAAAATAGAAAATAGTCAGGTAGCAAAAA